TTTTCTACCCAAATGCAGTGGTCCTTGAGGGCAAGAGTCAGACTGGACAGGGCTCAAGCAGTGCAGGAGTCTGCCAGGCAAATGCCATGCCCCCGAGCTACCCCACGAGATGCAGGCTCCAATTACCAGGAGGGCCGGGTTAGCTGGCCCCAACTAACATGTGCTGGAAATGTGCCCCTGAGCTTCCTGTTCCAGAGGCCTCCCAGCATCCTCTGCTTGTCCTGTTTAGGCTCTGGCCTGACAAGGTTTGGGCAAGGAGGAAGTAAGCACCCCTAGGAGCTCGGGCAGGCGGAGGTTAATGTCTCTGTCTGTTCGTTTTACTTCCCCCATCACCCTCAACGCGTGCATGCATGCACACCGAAGCCTCCGGGCCAGGCCACCAGTCTGTTCAAACATGGGAGAAAACACACAGAAAGAACACGTGTAGAAACCAGACTGACAGCCCTGAGCGTGCACTGGAAGTACCAATACAAACCCACAATTTACATTTTGAAACTGTTTCTAGTTTTGTCCATTGAAAAGGTGCCCTCTCAATCACAATGCCCTCCATGCCTGAAATGGTATTCACAGTCTCCATTTCCAAGAGAAGCAAGCAAAGTCCCTTAGAAGAATTAGCTCACTTCGGCTTTACAAGACGATCCTCCACACTCACCCATGACAGGAAGCAAAGAGGCTGGCCAAGACCATGGAGGGAGGTGTCAAAAAGATTCCGAAATCAACATGAAGAAGCTCCCGCTGGCCAGAAATGGAGATAATTTGAAGGGTTTTTTTGTTTTTGTTTTTTGAGACAGGGTCTCGCTATGTAGCCCAGGCTGGCCTCGAACTTGTGGCGATCCTCCTGCCTTAGCCTCTCCAGTGCTGGAATTACAGGTGTGCACCACGATGCCTGGCAGATAATTTGAATTTGAATAATGGTAACAACTGCAAAGGACTGAGACACAACAAATATATATAAGTCCATGACTACATCATGACCCCAAAGGAGAAAAGTCATCATTAGGAAATCTAGGGAACTGATTTTTTAAGCTAGTGATGGAAAAAGTCAAGCACTTCTTAAAGAAATGACAGAGTATCATCACTTTACAACACTAGGAAATACAGGTTGATCATCCCTAACCCAAAAATCTGAAAGTTTTTGATCTGAATTTGTTGAGCACCAACATGATCCCATGAATAAAAAATTTCACACCATGAAACCTTTGTTTGATGCAAAAACTTATTTACAATATTGCATAAAGTTAATTGCAGGCTATATGTATAAGGTACACATAAAATGTGAATGAATTTTGTGCTTAAAATTGGGTCCTACCCTCTAGATACCTCATTATAGATATGCCAATATTCCAGATCCCAAATCAGAAACAGCTTTGGTCCCATGCATTTTGGATAAGGGAGAATCAATCTGTAATGAACATAAGTAAAGATATCATTGATTACCAACATCAAAAAATACAGAGCTGGAGAAAAATAAAATAAAATAAAGAGCTGGGCCGGGGATTTAGCTCAGTGGTTCCACCGCCTGCCTCGCAAGCACAAGGTCCCAAGTTCGATCCCCAGTACCAAAATAAATAAATGAATGAATAAATAAATAAATGAAGAGCTAGGGATGCAGTTCCGTGGTAGAACTCATGTTTAACATGCACAAGACCCTGCTGGGTTCGATCCCCAGCACCTCAAAAAACAAAGCAAAGCACATACCACCACCACTAACAAAACAGACATGAACCAGGCACAGAAATGGGCACCTGCAGTCTGAGGTACTCAGGAGGCTGAGACAGGAGGATGGCTTGAGCCCAGGAATTGGAGGCCAGAGCCAATGCCAGCCTGAGCAACACAGTGAAACTCCATTTCAGAAAAAAAGAAAAAGAAAGCAAAACATGCATTAAATCATTGAAAACAAACACCAGACAATACATGCATACTATTAAGTATTTTTGCAAAAACGAATGAAATCTGATTTGGTCCATGACTTTAGATACCAATTTACAGAAAACACAAGGACAATAAAAACAAAAACTATGACCATAGGAATGCAGATGGTCTACAGGATAAGTCACACAGTTTATTTAACAAATTTAAAGAAAAAAAAACCCAACTAAAATTGAGGCGGTATCTATGGATTATGAGAGATGTAAGAGATATCAACCTACTGCAATGTATAAAATTTACATTGGTCTCAATCTGGAAAAAAATACCAAAACAAACACACTACAAGAGTGGAAAATACAGTAACTGGATGATTGTTTATATTAAGGAATTATTTTTTAATGTGATAATGGAAATGTTGCCTTTTAAAAAGACTTTATCTTTTAGAGATAAATTCTGGAAAACTTCCTATTGAAATCTGATGCCTGAGCTTCGCTTTGAAGTTGTGAAGAAGTGTGGAGCCACTGGTGAACCCTACCAACCCGGGTGACCGGCATGCTGGAATTCAGTGTCCCAGTCTCTGCTTCTGTAGGTATTAAACATTATTAGCCAGGCATGGCAGCGCATGCCTGTGATCCTAGAACTCAGGAGGCTAAGGCAGGATGAGTGAGGCAAGTTTGAGTCCAGTCTGGGCAACTTAGTGAGACCTTGTCTCCAAAAAACAACAGGCTGGGGATTTTAGCCCAGTGGTTCTGCGGCTGCCTGCCTTGAAAGTGGAAGGTCCCAAGCTGGATCCCAAAAACCAACAAAAAACCATGATAAAAGAAAAAAAAAATCCCTAATTGGAAATATCCTAAGGACAAAGCTGACCACAAAGAAATCTTAAATTGTACTTAGCAATGTTGTTATTAGTTCGCAGCCAGATCAGTTATCACATCTCAACTGCTGCAGATTGCAGAGCAAAGCAGATAAACTGGGTGTGGTGGTGCAGACCTGGGATCCCAGTCAGGCAAGCTGAACAGCAGGATTGCAAATCTGAAGCCAGGCTGGGGATCTGAGCAAGAACTTGTCCCAGATAAATCAATGAATAAACCAGCTGGAGATGTAGCTCAGGCCAGAGTGCCCCTTGGTACTGCAGAGAGCCCGGTACCAAGACAAAACAAACCGAAACACTGAGGGTACAGTCTGCTAAATACAGGGTGTGTTTAATTCTGTGGAAAAAATGCTCACAAATGAATGGCATTAAAAAAAAAAAAAAAAGGTCAGGCCGGGGATTTAGCTCAGTGGTTCCACCACTTGCCTCGCAAACGCAAGGACCCGAGTTCGATCCCATGTACCAAAAAATAAATTAAAAAATAAAAAATAAAGTAGGGGTGGGCTGGGGATGTGGGTCAGTGGTGGAGCTCATGGGAGAGCAGGTGCAAGGTCCTGATTTTGACACCCGGCAGAGAGAGTGGTAGAGATGTGGGGGCTGATAGGAACTTAGAGAAACTTAGACACAGCAACTAAAGACAGTTTGTCTATCTCATTTGGGTCCTGAATGAAACTAACAGGAAAAAAAGACTGTTCTTTTGTCAACTGGGGAAAACTGTACAAGCACTGAAAAACTGATTGTTGCACATTTTGTTGGATACCCTTGTGTTATAACTTGTTTCTTAGAGACACACTTAAGCATTTATAGGTGACATAAAGTTGTTTGGCACTTGCTTTAAAAATGCCCAAAGAAGGCGGGGAGCAGGAAGCCGAGGGGGAGGAGGGAGGAAATAGGTGAACCGGAAAAAAAAGGTAGCATGTTAACTAACTGTAAAACTGGGCTCAGGATAGCAATCTCACAACTGTGTATGTTTGAAATTTTTCATAAAAGTTAAATAACATGTAGAATAGTTTTAAAGAGTCAAATTATTATAGACAGCTAAGTTAGGTAGCAATGTTCTAGGCAGTCAGACAGGGCTAGGCCCTTGAGGAAGTCAGTGCAGGGGATGAGAACACATCACAACTGTGGCCAGAGGCGCATCTGGTAAAGGCCAGGGCACAAGATAAAGATGGCATGACCAGGCCTACATGGCTCCCCGAGGGGTAAGATAACTGGTATCACCTGGCCCAATAAAATCTAGACAGACAGACCTCAGTCACCTGGGTGGATGACCTGAAGACTCCTGATCCATCCCTTCCTAAAGAAGGCCCTTGTTCTTGCCATGCACACCTGCTACATGACCTGCTTCCCCACTGGATCAATATTACCTACGTGGGCAGACTTGTAATCTTTTTTTTTGGTACCAGGGATCAAACTCAGGACCTTGTGCTTGCAAGGCAGGCACGGTGCCACTGAGCTACATCTCCGGCCCTAGGCTTGTAATCTTATTGATCATAGTCTTGGCCCATGTTGTACCCACCTCGTGATTTTGTTCTATGAAACTTCCTTTGAGAAGTTGCTCATTCGTAACCCACTTTTGGGTCCCCTCCTCTCAGGAGCTCTCTCTCTCTCTCTCTCTCTCTCTCTCTCTCTCTCAATAAATATTTCCTACTCTTAACCTCCATTTGTTCCTTACCATCCTTTGATTCTGGGGGACATGTACTCAGCATACCTGACACCTAACAGGTTGGAGTTTGATTATTTCCCCTTTATCAAAATGAGCCCTGGCCAGCTGTTAACTATATTGAACTACTCTGGAATTGAAGTTCTGGGAAGGCTGGAGAAATCAGGGAGATGACAAGGCAGGGGAGACTCTAACCCTGACCTGCGTACGGAGGGTTGGGAAATGGGGAAGATGTGGGCCAGTGTACAGCGTGGGACCAAGACAGAGTGGTGGTGAAATCTTCACCAGACACCTGCAAGGCGTGTTCTCTATTCTGCTGTGGCTGGTGATGGGCGTTTGCTCCATCTTCTTCTGTGAGCCCTCTGAAAAAGAAAACATCCCTGCTCTTCTGCACTGGGAATTCTTCCTGTCTCCTCATCCCATTCCCAAAGAATTTCCCAGTCCACACAATCACCGAGGGTGCTGTGCTAGGGCTCCATCTGGTGGTAGGATCTGGGAACTGAGGTTACCAAAAGCTAAGGTCCCCAGGAATAGGGAGTTGAAGATGATTTGAGGGAGATCTGGTTTTTCCCCCTTAGAAAAGACAAACACATGCAATTAAACATATAAGAAGCCTTTAATTTCATCACCATAAACATTATACTCTGATTGCTCACGTACAGTATAAAATATTTACTCCGCTAAATAAATAAGACATAACATTATTGCAAACGGCACTTAAACCCTGAGCGAGAGCGCTAGGAGCTCCTCGGCTCGGCAGGGTGCTCCTGAGTCGGAGTGGGATTCCCGAGCACAGATCCGCCCAGCACAGATCCGCCCAGCACAGATCCGCCCAGCACAGATCTGCCCGGGGCGGAGGCGGTCAGAGGCTCAAGCGACCTCAATATGCTTCTGGTCCTGCGATGTTTCCAGACGGGCTGAGGAGCCAGTGGCGAGAGCTGGGGTGGAGTGGACGGGCAGCATCTTCATCAGCCCAGCCCTACATGGGGCAGAGGGGAGCCAGGGGCATCGGGTTGGGGACGCCAACACTCGAAGTCCCCAGCTCTGGGTAAGGACATCTGGGCTCTCACCTCAGGTAAGCAGAGCTCCCAAGGTCCCAGGCTAGGCAGTTTGGGGGACCAGACCTGTCACCCCAAAAGAACAGGATTCTGCCAATGATCAGCTTTTTGGGGGACCTAGTTATTGAGGCTCTCATTCTACCCACCTCCTAGGCACCAACACAGAGGAGCCGGGAATGGATTTCTTTCCCTTCTGCTTTGCTAAATAAATAAGTTAAATACTTAAAGTCCTGTGTCCTCATGATGGCAACCCAGAGACCACCAGCCGTGTCCTAATAAAAGGTGGAGGCAGAGGAATCAGCAGAGAGACAGTGCTGTGGACCACATGGGCTCTTCCTGCAAGTAGGTTTCATACCTTCCATCCCGTGGCGGACAGTTTCAGCTAGAAACTCCCAAGAAAGAGCAACACCTGGAGGGCTGCAGGACAAGGGGCCTTGGAGGTGGGAGACCAGGTGGCTGAGTTTATTCAGCTGCCCAGACACTTTTCTGAGGCTATCTCAACTAGGTGCTGGCTCTAACCCTGAGCCTGGTGACCCACCTACGGAGTCCCGCATTCCAGGGCAAGGAGCTAATCACATGCTCGCCCTTAGGTCCCTGAAGAAGTCCAGAGCGAAAACCTGCCGGGAAGCTGCCGGCCAGCCCTGGAGACTGGGAAGAGGCCAGGGAAGCCTCAGACCACTATGGGTGAGGCTATGCACCACATTGCCACGGGGTGGCAGCAGAGAGCGACACCACTCGGGCAGCGGGGAGGCCCGGTAGGCCACCCGGCCTCCGGCTGGGGCCCCCTGAGGCAGGGCCTCCCTGTGTTGAGATCGCTCTACACTGAATATTTGGCCAAATCGCTCTTGTCAAATACTACTCGTGTAGCAAAGTAAATGGCCACTAGACCCAAGCCTGCAGCCGACACCATATAGGCAGTGACAGATTGGCTGAGCTGGACGATGGAGCCCATGAACAGCGACGGAGCCACCTGGGACAGCAGGAAGGCGCTGTCCAGGATGGCGAGGTCCAGGCAGATGCCCCGGCCCGGGACGGCCCTGGCGTCGCTCGGCTCGCCCATCACCACTCGCATGGAGACGTCACGGGCCGCGGCGCCGCAGAGCGCGGGAGGGCCGGGCAGCACGTTGCTGCCCGCGCCCACGAGGCCGTTGGCGAAGGGGGCTGCAGACACGGGCCCGGGCAGAAAGCTGGCCGCCAGGCTGTCCTCACTGCTGCCCCCTCCAGGGTCCCCTCGGTATTTGGGCAGGAACACCTGGGGGAGAGAAAGGGTGAGGACAGGGGTGCAGCCAGCCCCTGGGACCGGCCTGCCCACGTGCTTCCGGCTGGAGGAGCCCGGGCCTGGCTGAAGGAGGAGGAGGCGGTGGTCAGGAACGCGGGATAGCCTGCTGGGGCTGGGGCTGGGGCTGGGGCCGGTCCAGGCAGCCCCTCCTCCGGAGTGGGAGACCACGGCGGGACAGGGAGGGACAAATCAGAAACCGGAACTGCCAGATGCGGTGGCGCACACCTCTGAACCCAGCACTCCTTCTGGGAGGCTGGAGCATAAGAATCCCGTTTCGAGCCCACCCTGGGCTACGTAATGACTTAGTGAAACCTATCTCAAACTAAAAAATAAAAAAGGGCCGAGGGTGGAGCCCAGTGTGAAGGCCGGGGTTCCATCCCGTCGTGGGAGGAGTCATAGAACAGAGGACAAAATCCAAAGGAGGGTTCTTGGTGGCCCAAACCCTACCCGGCTCTCCCTGTCCTCGCCCCCGTGTGTCGGTCCTCCACGCGCCGTCAGAAATCCTCATCGACTGCCAGGGAGAGGCCCTGGCCCTCCAGAGTCCCAGGCTGGCTGCAGTTACTGCCCCAGTCTTGGGCCTAATGCTGTGGCCCCTCTCCTTTCCTCCCTGCAGTCTGCTTAGATCAGAGACCCCATCCGCTCGACCCGCCCCACAATGCCTGCCTCAGTGAGCAGGGCTCCTCCTGAAGGACAAGGCCAGGCCTTATGCACACTGTCCCCGGTGCCAGGCAGCGTCTAGCACAGAAGGCTTCTTGAGTCGGCTGCCTTAGCGAGGCGGGAGCCATGGCCGGGCGCCAGCTTGATACCAAGAAAGCCTCCAGCTCATCGCTCAGCTCAACAAGTGGCACAGGACAAGCGGGCGGCATGCAAGGCCAAGTCCACTGGCAGCCGCCGTTGGAACGGGCCTCGCGGGCCTCTCCTCTCCGACTGCCGCCCCCAGAAGGTCCTGTCAGGCTGAAGCCTGGTGAGGCCCTGGGGACAGAAAAGGACCAGTCTCCACCTGTCCCCTGGCACGACTGCGTGCTGGGGCCTGGGCCCCAAGCTGCCACCCCAGAGCAGCAGGAGAGAAGCAGTGATGAAGGCACCCACCCGCAGGGGCCTCAGGGGCGAGGCTCCCTTACCCACACCTGAGCAGACCAGCCTGCCAGCTACGGGGTTCACGGCCGACCAACTCACATCCTGCCAGGGAAGGGACAGGTCTGCCCACTCTCGGGGAGCTCTGGGGGGTTCTACACGCAGCCCCTCACAGTGAGGTCAGTGGAGGGGACAACAGTGACCACGCTACCTGGGGCGGGAGGTTTCCCACAGAAGGGGATCCCTGCAGGAGTGGGCAGCCTGGGGCTGAGCAGGAAGGAGGCCCGATACACCACGCCCTGTGCCCAGACATGACACAATGTCAGGCTCAGTTATCTACCGAGGGGCAGGGCAAAGGAGGGAGGCAGGGAAAGAAGGAAGGGTTAGAAGAATGGGGGGCTTGGAGGAGGCCATCCCCATTCAGACCAAGAGGACAGGGGTGGTGACGTCAGCACTCCCTGCCCAGGACAGGAGTGGCCACACCATTCCCAGTGCCATCGCGGAAGCCGGGTGGCCCCAAGTCAGTCCACCCAGGCCCTCGCCTGCCTCGAGGCACACAGCCGGGCACAGCCACGGGCGCCTCTGGCGAAGGACTCTGAGCTTCCTGCCGTCACCCACCGAGCTTCGACGTCCTAGCCAGGAGGTCACTCCAGACTAATCGGAAGGGCACTCTCCTTCCGCAGCCCAAGCCTCTGGCCCCCAACTAAGACGAGCTTCCCTGGAGCAGAGAAAGGCCCCTCTCCCCACTGGCCAGCAGCAGGCTCGAGCACGGCGTCTCATACCTGCTTCTCTCGGTGGTAGAGGGAGGCCAGAGTGTAGGGCAGGATCTGCAGGGCTGAGAAGGTGAACCCGGTGAGGGCGGCCGAGGCTGTCACCACGGCCACACTGCGGGACAGACACGTGGCACCGGCGGCCACGGGGAAGGCTACCACGCTGGCCAGGTAGATGGCCCTGGTGCCAAAGCGCTGCACCAGCCGGTCCATGCCGAGAGAGAAGAGCAGGGAGGTAGCGCACTGCAGGAAGAGCCCCAGGCTGCCCATCCGCACACCTGGGGGTGGGAGGTGGGTCAGGGTCCTGCCAGTGGCATCGGGAGCTGGGACTGCAGCCCGAGTGCCTGGCCCCAGCCCTGTCCACTCCACCTGCAGCGGTGGGAGCCGAGGGTCGTCTGGACCCTCAGCAGATGCCGAAGGGCAGGGAAAGCTGTTCTCAGGGGGTGTGAGCTTTGGGGACAGCAGGCTGGGAGGGAGCACAAAGACAGTGCAGGCTTCAAGATGGTTCTGGGGCTAGGGGTGCAGCCAGTAGGACAGCGCCTGCCAGGGAGGTGCAGGGCCCTGGTTTTGGCCCCCTGCACCACAAACAGAAACAAGGAAAGACAGAGCTCTAGAGCACTTCCGGAGGTTATCAGGAAAGTCAGCAGGGAGGCAGGGGCCAGCCTGAAGCTGGAGCCAGCCAGACCTGAAGTCCAGCTTAGACTCCTCCACTCCCTTTGGACCTGGAATGAGCTCAGCTTTTCCTTCTGTCAAAATGGGGCCATGAGTCTGACTGAACTCAGAGCAGCAGCCATCTGCAGATGGGGTCCCACTGACTCTCCTGATGGAGAAGTTGGGGCTCAGGCTAACCCAACCCTGGACTGTCCCCTGGTGGACCCTGTGTGGGCTGGAGGCCTTACCTTCGTCGTAGTGTCTCCGGGCCTCGGTGCCTGGCTCGGCTCTGGGCTCACCCTGATACAGTCCCTCGCCCACGAAGTCCGTGTAAAACAGTGTGAAAGTCATGAGCGCCATCCAGCTACACAGCTCGGCCACAAAGAGCCTGCGCAGCGTGCGGGGCATGCGGCAACACAGCTGGTGCAGCCGAGGAGACAGGGCATCCAGGCTCCGGAAGGCCAGGCGGGCACGGCTTGGGCAGCAGTGTGGCCCTGAGGGCACCGACCGGCCTTCTGCCACCTCCGCGGGGCCCAGTACAGCCTCCTCCGCCACAAACAGCGTGGCCGCCAAGCAGGTCAGGAAGATGAGTGAGAGCAGCCCGAAGAGGCACTCCTCCCGGGAGCCCAGGTAGGGGCCCAGGGCGCTGGCGTCCCAGTCCACGGCGGGCAGGAGGTAGCCCAGGCAGCCGCCCAGGCTGACCATGAAGGCGTAGACCGAGAAGGCCTGGCGGCAGTGGTCTGGGTCCCGGAAGAGGTCAGAAAGCAGGGCCTCCAGCGGTGTGAAGCACACCTGGCCGCAGAAGTCCAGGAGCCCCACGCCCAGGATGAGCAGGGCCAGCTCCAGGGGCCGCGCGTCCGGGCAGAGCAGCCCTGCCAGCCAGCCTGCCCTCGGGATGAGGAAGAGGCTGAGCAGCACGCCCAGAGACAGCGCCCAGATGAACGGCCTCCGGCGGCCGTAGCGTCCACGCCACTGGTCACTGGCCGAGCCCAGCAGTGGCACAGAGACCAGCCCCAGCACGGGCCCGATGCCTGCAGGAAGGGCACGTAGACAGCGTCAGGGCTGGGACAGAGAAGGGGTAGAGGCAAGGGGAGCTGCTCCCCGGGAAGGACGGAAACAGAGGCGGAGGCGGCCACGTCATGCTGGGGCGGCTCTGCACTAGAAGACCCGGGCACAGTCTCACCGGACTCTCTGGCTCTCAGTGTGACGGGGAAGTTGAGGCACAGAGCACCTGAGCAGTGACAGAAATGACACTCGTGCAGAGGGGAAGAGCTAGGCAGGACAGGAGGCAGGGTGTCCGGTCCAGCGGACTCCAGAGTGCATCCCAGCAGGGCCCCTCTTCCGGGGCTGGGAGGAGGCACACAGCGGCAGCCACTTGTCCCCTGGAGCTTTGCCCAAATTGCCTGCACACTGAGTCCACCCTGCCCTGTGCCAGGGGATGAGAGCCCTGGCAGGGAGACCCTGGTCAAGTGCCAGCTCTGCTAATCAGCAGCCACAAACCAGGGCTGACTACTCACCCAACTCCTCACAGGCCCATTTCCTACCCTGTAAGATGAATCACCCATGGGGGCATTGTGAGGGGTGAATGACAGACAAGGCAGACAGAGGGCAGGAGCAGTTTCTCCAGTGTCTCCAGTGCCGGGAGCCCGGCAGTACCCAGGGCTCAGAGGAACCCCGTATGATGTCCCTGAGCTCCTCTCTCCAGAGCACCCCGCAGCCCAGGGTCAGCCCTGGGCCAGCAGCCACTTCCCCTTTGGAGCTGCCTGCCTACATCCCGGGTGCACAGAACCAGGGCAGCCAGAGGCAGATGGAGAGACTCACCCAGCACCATAGTCATGAACCTCTCCTCCACGCCCACTTCCAGCAGCAGGGGCGGGACGTAGGTGATGCCGGCAGCCAGGCACACCTCCAGGCCGAAGGTCAGCAGGTTGACCAGCAGGAGCTGGGCCTTCCGATGCCGCAGCAGGCGGCTCCCCCACAGCCTCTGGCCCATGGCGGCCGGTCACAGGCGCGCACTCCACAGCTGCTTGCTCTCAGCCCTGCTCCAGATGCTGCTGCAGAGGCCTCTCCTTCTTGCTGCCACCAAAGGCCTAGGATTCAGCCAGGCACCCATCTCCCTGCACCAGCCCTTCTGTGGTGCAGGTCCGGTGTCTCAGCCCGTGCTAAACGCCCTTGGCCGCACAGCACCTCGGTGGGGACACATCTTGTCGCTGGGATCCTGAAAGGGCAGGACAATGACAGGCGCACGGAGCGTTAAGTCCTGGGGCCAGGTCTCCAGGACCTGCCCTGAATTTGCTCATTCACAGCCCAGTGATGTGGCCCCAGCCCCTCGGTGCCACCCCTGGCTGCCCAGTCAGGAAATGCAGGTTAATATTAGCTGAAGGCTGACATAATTAATGAGGTAAATATGACTTTTAAACCTCAGCACACCCCAGAACCAAACAGATGCCAGCTACTTTCTGCACTGGAATATCTCTGCAATTGCCCTCGCCTGTGAGTAGGGAAAGCCAAAATCTAACCGACTAAATCCCCTGTTGCGCAGGCCTGGCTATCCAGAGGCCTCTGCCCGGCCTGGCTCAGTTCCCCTTTGCTGCGAGTGACACTTCCGATTCCGACTCCCACCTCCTGCTCCTGAGCTGTTGTGCCACAACCCCCAGCCCAGGGCAGGGACAGAGGCGAAGGGAGGAAAACGCTGCACTCTGCCAGGCTGGGTTCAATCTGTCCCTGAAACCCTTGGTGACCTAGGTCTGAAGACCTCCCCTGAGAGCTTCTCCCCGAGCCCAGCATTCAGGGGGGAAGAGGGTTCCCCACAGGCCACTGCAACTCTCTCAGAGCAGTGGGGGAGTCCCAGGTCCGGGTCTCACAGGGGCTTCAAACTGCACTGCCCAGCCAATGACCCCGCCACGTCCTGGGCGGCCTTTCCGTTGCCCCACATCCCCACAGGCTTCCATTCTCGGCAGAGAGGTCCGCACAGGCAGCAAAGCCCACACTGCTGGGCCCAGCAGCGGCCTCCGGGTCTCGCTTCCTGACAGCGGCTCCCACTGCAGTGAGCTCTGCTGAGAGGCGACTACGAAAGGGAAACTCAGCCGGGTGTGATGGTGCACATCCGTCATCTCGGCGCTGTAGGAGGCTGAGGCAAGAGGACTGTAAATCCCAGCACGGCCTTCTTCGTAACTTAGCTGCCCAGTGAGACTGTCTCAAGATGAAAGTTAAAAAACAATTTTTTACAGCTGGGAATATACCTTAGTGTAAAGGTGCTGGGCCGAGTTCAATTGTCAGTACAAAAACACAGAAACAAAAATGAAAAACAAACCAGGGAAAATCAAGTCAACTATCAGAAGAGGTGGGGAAGGGTCGGCATGGTGGCCCAGGCCCGTAATCACTCAAGCACTTGGAGACGGAGGCAGAGGGATGGGGCTGGAGGCCAGCAGGGCTACACTGAGACCCCGCTTCAAGAACCCAAAACTAAAATAAAGTAGAGGAGAAGAGGAGGAGCGAAGGAGGAGGGGAGGAGGTAGAGGAAAAAGAGGAGGGACAGCGGAGGACAGAACTTCGCACCACTCAGAGCTGCGGAGCCTTCCTCTTCCTCCCCCTCATCCCAGGCATGCCGAACACCAGCTGGTCCTCTGCACGGACCACAGAGGCCAAGGGCTGGCTCTGGTGCCCCTCGACACCACCCCTCACTCATCCGAGGCCAACCGAAGCATCTCAAGCAGAGGCAGGCACCTGCACTTCTTTATCTTTCCAAGGAGCACTCAGCCCAGGGGCCCTGAGGATTACAAAGCAGCTGCAGGTGTTCCAGGGCCACCTTGTGCGGCTTGGCAGTCCCTAGACCAGCAGAGGGGACTTCTCCCCAAATCCCCACCCTTTGGAAAGGGGAGGGTCTCTGGGACCCACCGTCCCAAGAGGGAGGTTCCGGGACCAGACCTTAGTCTGAGCTGGCCTGCCCTGGGTTCAAGGTGACCTTTCCCCACTGCCACATCTCCCAGGGTCCCTGAGGGAAAGGAGAGACCCCAGGGTGGGGCTGCGCAGCCTGGAGGGAGGGGTTCTGGGGCAAAGGCATCCAGCCCACTCCACTCCCCACCCTCAGTGTGGGAGGCCGGACACTCACCTGCTGTGAGTACTCAAGGGACCAGGTCCTCCCTGGGCAAACAGAGACTTTGGCAGCCCAGCCTCACCCATGACCTGCCCTTGTTCTCCAAGTCCAGGCAACCTTGTTTAAAATTAATTGCAGCTCTCCAGCGTCCATCAGTCATGGCACCTGCCTTCCCCAGGCTCCTCAGTTCTCTCTAGCAGGAGCAAGACCTTCTAAGGCGGGGAGAGGAATTTCCCCATCCTCCCACAACCCCGGAACTGTGGAGCAGCCTCCCCGGTCCGGGAGGCCCTCAGCCAGGTAACTGGGGGCTGGGCCAAGGAAGTATTCATTGAAAGGAGTTAAGGAGTTGGGAAGGAAGCAGCCCGCTCGCTCGCTCGCCCGCCCACCGCCCCTCTGTTCTTAGGTTGTGGAGCCCGTACTCCCCCTCTTTTCCAGTCCACTCTGTCCTGGGGGTCCAAGCACTCTTGCCACCCCTACCTTTTAGCATTCCCAGCCCAGCCCAACCTGAGGAGTTCCCCGTCCTCCTAAGCCCCACTGTCTTATCCCCCATGCCTCAGTCTCCCCCACTGCCCATTCCAGGTGCCCAGGGTGGGGTTGGACTCCCATGATGCCAACTCCAGCCACCAGCCCTTCCCTCCAGGGCCTGGTCCCCAGACTCAGGGAGGCCCTGGAACAAGAAGTGGTTCGGTGCCACTTTCCCTGACTCGGCTGGTCCTAAGCCCCAAGGTGCACTTCTCATCCACGCTTGAGAGTGACAGATCCCAGTGGCCACTCCTCCATGCCAGATCTGGGGAGCTCCCCTCCTCTGACTTCTGGAGCAGAAGCAAGGGCCAGGGGACAGGGTCTAACTCTCCCTACTCAAATCCTCCTGCCCGGTGCCCCCGGAGCACTCTGTGTAGCTGGCAAACAGAAGCTCAATCAGGAGAGCCGCCTGAAGGCTCACCTGGAGAGGAGGGGCAGGAAGAGGAGGGAAGTGGAGGGGTGACCTCTAGGAAAGTTAAGGAGCAGAGCGGCAGCCTTCTAGGGGAGCAAGCCCCTCTCAAGTTCCAAACCGCTCCCCTCCTCTCCAGGCCCCTTGACGGCCCAACAGTGAGAAAGCAGAAGAAAACCAAGACCTCCGGGAGCTTTCCTGGGACTCCACCCTGCAACAGCCTTCCTCACCCCCTGGGCGGGCTGGGGCTCCATCACAAGGCTTGGGCACCAGGCCCAGCAGGTAAAAGGACCCGGGACACATCTGCCTGATGACCAAATGGACCAGAGCCACTGAGCAGGTGTGTAAGAGATGGGAGAAGACCTAAGGTGGCCTCCTACTGCAGGCAGCTAAGTTAGATGGAAATGAATATACAGTCAGAGAGGGGCTGGGCTGTCAAGGAAGAGAGCAGAAAAAATAAAGACATCAGAACTGTGGCTGGAGGTGCATCTGAAGAAGGCCAAGGCACAAGATAAAGATGCAGTGACCAGGCCTGTATGCCTCCCAACAGCAACTAGGAGTTGCACTATAATTGGTGTCATCTGGTCCAGTAAAGTCCAGATAGACATCAGTCGCCCAGCTGGGTGATCCGAGCATCTGGGCCATCCCTTCCCAAAAATGCCTTTGTTCTTTCCATGTACCCCTGCTATGAGACCCGCTTCTCTTTCAGATCAATATTAGCTAATCGGCTATACTTGTAATCTTACTGACTGATTACAGTGTGACCCGCGTTGTACTCACCTCAGAATTTTACTCTATAATACACTGTTGGAGAAATGGCCTCAGTGGCAGCCACTTTCAGGCCCCTTCCTGTCTCTCAGCAGCTACCTCTCAATAAATCTTCCCTATTTTTTTTTTTTTGGTACTGGGGATCGAACTCAGGTCCTTGCGCTTGTGCAGCAGGCGACGAAACCACTGAGCTAAATCCCCGGCCCCCAAATTCATTTCTAAACTTTCCCTATTTTTTTTTTTTTGGTACTGGGGATCGAACTCAGGTCCTTGCGCTTGTGCAGCAGGCGACGAAACCACTGAGCTAAATCCCCGGCCCAATCTTCCCTATTCTTAACCTCTGTTGTTCCTTAGAATTCATTCTTCAGTTCTGGAAGACACAAACTGAGTGTATGTGACATCTGGCAGGTTGCGAGCTATATTTCACCCCCACCCAGGAAAATTCCTAGCTCAACCTCAGCGGTGGCGGCTCTTTGGGCTGGAAGGTGGAGATGGCTCGGACACCCCCTCTTCAGACTGGACCCGGAGCAGGCAATTTGGGAAATGAAACTGAGCAACAGGAACAAACTTGGCCTGAACTTTGTGCAAAACTCAAAAGACAGTGGAGGAGGCGGAGAAAAGGCGACGGAGCCCATTCCCTGGTAGCTCCCTGAGGGAAGGGAGGGTCACGGGGACATATAAAGAGGCCTTTGAGGGCTTTCAAAGAGGCTCCTGCCACCCCGCGAGGCCAGGCCTGGCCAGGCGGCCACGGTGGGGCTGGGGGAGCAGATTCCCTGCTGACAGAAAGAGGCCATAGGGAGCGGCAGGGGCAGCCCCCGCCCCGGGCCAGTGTCAGGCTGCAATTCTATGGGCTCTTTATGCAGGCCTCACGCGCCCACACCCCACCCAGGCACTTCAAACGGATGAAGCCCCCGCCCTGACCCTCAGCTCGGGACCGGCATTCTCCCTCCACACTCACAAAGGCCTCGCTGCTTTCTCACAGGCTCGAGGAGTGTGCTCCTCCACCCTTCTCCCCCAGGTGGTCGACAGGCAAGGGGAGGCTGGCCTCTGGGAGCAGTGACTCAGCTGAAGAAAGGGGTGGGTTCACCCTGTCAGCTTCCCGAGCACCCCACCAAGGCTGCCCCACCCCGGCCAGCCGTGGATGGACCCCCTGCTCCCTCCTAAGCCAGGCTCTCAGACCCTCTGGGCTGGGGCATAGACCAGGACCTCTCAGGTGAGAGTTTGCCAACCAAATCCCCACTGCTCTTCCCTGGGCCTCAGTGCCAGGGACCACGCCCCACTTCCCCTTCAGGGTGGCTCAACAGGAGCCCTGGGTCACCCTAGAACAACCCGCCAGGGGGCCTGAACGCAGGCTCGGCTCCCCTCAGCTGGAAGCTGAAATTCCCCACCCTATGGAGCGCCTCTCCACTTGGCACCTGGCTGCTGGGAGGGGACAAAGCAGGAGACTCACGGGCTTGGGGCTCCCCACCCACTGGTCTTTGATTCTCGGGACCCAAATATTTCCAAAGCAGTGAGGTCTCTGCTTTAACCACTCCCACCCTAGCAAACTGCAACCATGACTCGCACACATGTCAGGCCCAACACCTCATGGGGCTCCCGTGGCTGGAGGACACCATCCCTTGCGACCTCTCCACCTCTGAGGCACTCCTGGGAAAGAACTAGGGGCCCAGCCTCAGCCCCCACCCTAAGACCTGCTCCCTAGCTCTGCCTCCTGCAGGCCTGGAGGCTGGGGATTTAAGCGTTCACCCCGCTGAGTGGCCTTTTCTTCCCTCTGCTTAGCAGCTTGTCAGAGAGAGTGAGGGGCTGCAGGCCGGGACACAAAGGGGGATTAGGGAGAAACCTCTCGGCCTGCACAGTAATCCATCAAACTCTCTGCCGGCTGCCAGCACCAGCCCCTTCCCACTCAATTCCCCTTCCAGCTGCTGCTGGCCCCCACTCCCTCTGGCTCCTGAGCCCTGTCACATCGGGCAGCAAAGAGGATCTCAGCCCTGGGGGGGCAGAGGGGCACACCACAAATACTGGGAAAAGGGCAACGGCCGCCTCCCCCCACTCACCCCCAATGTGTGAAAACCCAACAGGTGGCAGTGGCTTGGAGGAAAGTTGCTTTTGTTGCCCCGTGGAAGAGCCCCAGTCAGCTTCGGAAAGGAAACAAATGCTGGCCGAGCAGGGGAGGGCAGGGCAGGGCAGGGACTCAGCTGCAGGCACCGCCTCTCCCGCCCCGCCCCTCCAGTGACAGGGAGGGACGCGGCTGGCCTGACCCTCACCTTGGCCATGGTCCCGGCCAGTCTAAGCTGACGCAGACACCTCTCCAAGGTCACCTGGCCATCCTGCAGGACAGCCAACCCAGACACATTCCGTTCTGGGCACCTGGGCTCCCCAAGCAGACTTGGTTCGGTAAACAGCGGCCACCCCGGGTCACCAAGGGGAGCAGCAGGAGCCCTCCTCCACCCCAGCCTCGGCCTCTGAACCGGGCAGGTTCCACAGTCACCCAGGTCTGGGAGCTGGCCTGACTCAGTCTGCACACGGCTCTACCACTTACGGCTGCAAGCAGGACTTTGCTACTTGACCTCCCAAGCCCCAGTTTACTCCTCTACAATTAATAACAGCAGATGACAGCGACGTTTACTATGTGCGTGCTAGGCACTCTTCCAAGCGTTTTTTGGTTTTGTTTTTTTTTGGTACTGGGGATCGAACTCGGGTCCTTGCGCTTGCGAAGCAGGCGGTGAAACCACTGAGCTAAATCCCCAGTCCTCTTCCAAGTGTTTTAATCTTCCATTCACTGGATGTGGGTGTGATTTTCATAGCCAAGGAAACTTCAATTAATACCACTGACCTCGGGATGGGGGTGGAGCTCGGTGGTGGAGGCTTGCCCGGCATGCCCAAGGTCCTGGGTTCTATCCCCAGCACAAGAAAAACAAAACAAACCAACAAAGATTCCCCACCAACTTCACAGGCACAGTGTGTGAGACACAGGATGAGTGTGAAGGTTCCTGGGAGGGGGATCTCGCCTTTCCAAACATAGTGGTTGAGGAGCTAACTCTGACTTTCCTCTCTGCTTCTACTACCCCGGTGCCCCGGTGTCTGTGCACCACACAAGCTGCCAGTTCAGACCCAGGTTGCAGGAGAAACACCAAGGCCTCCCCAGGTGCTGGCCGCAACAGGTGAGGAGAGATCACTGCCACAGACCTGCCAGAGGGGTTAGGGGTGGGGTGGGGCAGGCCCTGCAGGTATGAAACAGGGTGGCTCCCACCCCCAGGGACAGTGATCCAGCGTGACTGCTCAGGAGATGGCTGGCACCTGTTAGGACCTCACTGCTTTCTAATAATCCACACAATGCACGCTGTCCCTCAAAGTAGACACTCAACATTTCTTCTTCACAAGGATGAAAATTTCTGTCCCAGGGAACTGAATTAGCATGCCCAAGGTTGCACAAATCAAAACAGAGTTTGGAACCATTTGAAAATTCTGGAAAGCACTTTGAACCAGGAGCCAGGAGAGTGCAGTCCTGCTTCAGCAACACCTAGAGCTGTGTGGCTTGGACGAGCCGTTTCACCTCTCTGGGACTCAGTTTCCACAGGTGTAAAATGAGAACCAGTCTAGATAACGTCTCAGGTTCTGTGGGTGGAGTGCTTTCCACAGACAGGGGCCCACTGAGAGCTCACTGCCAAGGCCTGGAGGCATTAGGAAGGGGCTTCCAGGTCTCCCACCAGTGAAGGGCAAGTGGAACCTGGGGGAGAAGGGCTCCCAGCCGCACCTACCCCACACAATGGAGTGCCAAGGGTTGCCTGAAACTGAGCCAGTGAGCAGGGTGTCTGGGGACAGAACTGCCCTCTTCCCTACTCCCACAGTTGGACTTTGCTCCTGGAAGAAATTAGTAACTAAATTCTTTCTCTCCTTGGGTCACAATAAATTCAGAGTATCAAAAACTCCTGTGTTCTGGGGCTGGGGGAAGAAGACTATGAAGAGGAAAGGGCAGCTGGGCTCAGACTCCAGGGGCTGGGAGTTCTCTCCACCCCCTTCCTCCTCCTCCTCCTCCTCCTCCTCCTCCTCCTCCACCCCTGCTCAGTGAAACCTGAGCACACTCCTCCTGGTGAACTTGACCCTTGGCAGTCACCAGGCTGGACCAGGCAGCTCTCCCTGCCCATGCACAGCCAGTCCCAGCCCTCTCCCTCTCGGGAGGTAAGGTACACAGGAAAGGTGTCAACGGCCTACATGTGTGGGGCAAACCGCAGCCCAGCAATGCCCAGGGCGGAGGGCCAGACTGGGGGCCTGCCAGGGCTGCGGACATGATGACCTCGGGAGTTATCAGCCCTGACATCCTCAAGAGTGTGGCCAGCCTCATCTCTAATCTAAGCAGTCAGTTCTTTGGAAGTGTCACTCAATCAAACGGTCACTTCCTGGGGACCAAGGATAGAGTAGACCCTGCAAAGACTGCTAAGGAGCCTGACCGGGCCCACCCTTGGAAGAAGCAACCTCAGTATGCAACCAGCCTTGCTGAAAGGAATACCCAGGAGCACTTAAAGCCACCCACCTGCTCTTACTGAGCCCCAATTTCATTCAAGCCTACTATGAAGATGCTGGTGATACAGAAATAACTGGTCACAGCTCCCATTAGCAGAAGAGAGGAAATGCAATCAGTGTGCCAGGAGGTGACGAAGGTGCTCAGACACACATCCAGAGTGGGGGCTCAAGGTGGGGACATGGTCAGGGCTTCCTGGATCCTGAGAGATATGCAGGTAAGCAGCACGCAGAAAGGGCTGATGTCTATAAAACTAGCCCTGGAGGCTAGGATTTCCAAATTCATCTACCCCTCCTAATAGCCCCTCCCCAGACAGGTGTGCTGGATGACTATGGGATCCAAAACCATGGGTCTGGGTTCTAATCTCAGATTTGGCCCAGCTGTTGTGTCCTAGATGAATCCCCATGCCTTCCTGAACCCAGGTGGGAGGTTCATCCACTGGGCTGGATTTTGCTTCCTAAGTGGTCACCTGCCCTGGTTACTTCCTGTCCTGAATGGCCTCTGCCTTGCACCTGAGTCCAGCTCAAGTCCTGCACCTCTTCTAGGGCTTCGTGGGACCCAAGCAGTCAAGTACACATCTCTTTCTCCTCCAAATCTCTCCTGCATGAGCCAGGCACCCCCAGGGCTGGATATTGCACAGCGTCTTCCGGGCTCTGGTTTGTAGTCCATCCTGACCACCTTCTCCCTAACTAAAGCCCTTTGGCTCCTGGAAAGGAGGACACACAGGCTTGCCCAGGCCTGAAGGAGGTGGGCTGCTCAACAGCAGACCTATGGGTGGAGCTGAACTGGCCACTGAGGCCAGGCACAGACAAGGCCACACTCGAGGTCCCGGGTCCCCAGCTCTCTCCAGCAACAGAAGCCAGAGTGGGAGTCTACATTGCCACATCCCCAGGGATGGCCCAGGGGCTCCTAGCTTGGACACTATTTGCCAGCTCAGAGTACACTTGTGATCAGAGAACTTGGGGGGCTGAGGGCTGACAGGATACACACTGGGGAGGGAGGACAGCTGCTGTGGGCAGCTGCTCCCCCAGGGCACCCCCTTTGGCCAGACGATCTGTCTGGCCTGATCTAGTGACAGGGGACTGAAACCAAGAAATGGCCTGCAACCCCCTTCCGGTTGGCTTGTCCCAGACCCCCAGAGAAGGTGACCTCTGGAAGTAACAAAGAAGGAAAGGGGAGCAAACACCCGAAGTGCCTGTCCGTGCAGGCACTTTGCTAAATATGCATACCCCATCTGCTCCACATCATAACCTTTCCAGGTGAGTAGTGTGTCCATTTCACAAAGAACCCAAAGCCAACAACGGGGCAGCCCTATCTCAAATCCAGAAGCCCCATAGTCATTCAGAGCCAGTGGCAAACTGTGGACTTCTCCCATGGGAGAGAAACACAGATTGCATAGTAGAAAACGGGATTAAACAGGAAGTTCTGGCCAGGGATCAGGACCATCCCGTGATGGCTCTGTCACCAGTCCCTGCCCCCAAGCAGGGACACTTAATACACTGGACAAAGCTCAACACTCCAGCTCTGTTGCTGGGAGTCAAGCGGCATCAGCATTTGAGACACCAGGCCTGGTACCAAGAGATCTAGTCTTCACCCTTGCTGTCCAACCACCAGGCCACTGACTGGCCAAAGAAAGGGAGGCAGGGTTTTTCTTCTGGACCCTAAGGGCAGCACAGAAGATCCCAAGGGCTGGAGAGGAAGGACAAGCGGAAGGATGGAGCCAAGTTTCCACTTCAAGACACCCTCCCTAGATAGTTTCCCTAAAAATGACTCCGAGTAACCGTTCCACGTAGAAGGCTCTTCACCTTTCAGGTATACATTCACCTCCATCACCCCTCCCTGTCCTCCTCCAACCTGCAGCAGCCACTCTTGGGAGGTGAGCAGAGAAGCAGGTTCCAGACTAATTACAAAACAAAACAGGTTCTGTGGTATTGACAGGGACAGGGGAGAGAATCAGATGTCCAGTCCTGGGGTGTTCTTCAACCGGACCATAGCTCCACTGAGGATGTTACTCACAGCTTACATGTGGTTATATGTGGTGTAAGCCTTCTTGAAGGAACTGGTTTCTAAGTTAAACCACAATGACTGCCTCCCTTGTCACCAAACAGCAGCAGCTGACATTTATCAAGCTCTTTTTACAAGCAGCTGCTCAGTCGTTTACCTACATCAGCTTATTTAATCCTCGAAATACTGGGAGGTAGGTACTATTTCCCTCATTTTACAGAAAAAAAAGTTGTAACACAGAGGCCAAAGAACTTCCACAAGAGGAAACAGGGTTTCAAGAAGTCTAGAACAGACTTTTTTTTTTTAAGAGCAGGGCCCCAGAAGGCTGGGTGCTCCTTTGCATTCAATCACAGCTGAGAGATATCATACAGTCAGCGATGCAAGGCACGGTGGTGCACGCCTGTGACCCTAGCACTCCGGAGGCTGCAACCAGGGACCACTTCAAGGTTGAGGCCCATCTGGGCTACACAGTAAGTTCCAGGCCAGCCTTAACTACATACTCTGTCTCAAAAAACAAAAACAAACAAAAAATAACACAGTTAATGCTAGCTAACTTTTATTGAGCATGTACTACATTTCAGGCATACAGTTAAGTGTTCTACATGAATTATTTACTAAAGCTATAATTTTACTTTATTATAGTTATATGTTTACAAATATTATTTATATTGCGGCTTGGAAGAGGCTGAGCAACTTGCCAAGCTAGTGGATCAGTCAAAATAAAACCCATCTTTCTGACAGCCTGCATTTCCATCCCCAATGTGTTATCAGGTCCTAACGGTCCAGATCAGAGTGCTTACGGTCCAGATCAGAGTGCTTAGTCAACCTCACTCCCCTAATGCTCTGACCAGCCCTCGCTGCCTTTCTGCTTTTTCTGTCCAGACTCTGCCCAAGCTGAGAGCTCCCCCGGGACCTGCACACCACCCCTCCACCACCCAGTGGCCGGACAGGGCCGGCATGGACCACACAGGCTCACTGACCACACGGTTAGCCGCAGAGCCAGGAAGGGCAGGGGAATTCACTCCAGGAGTGCATAGGAAATCTGCCCCGGCACACACACTCTAGACCGGGGCCTGTGTCTCCACAGCTGTACATTCATCCACAGCTGTATTTTTATCTTCAGACTCATCCGGCTGACTCAAGCTCCATTTTCTAGGCACTTTTAGAACAGAGTCCTGGCTCCAGGACAGGCATGGAGGAGGAGATAGGAAAGGAATGAGAGGATGAATTGTTCCAACAGAAGGACCTATGACCTCAAATTGAGTCCCCTAGGACAGAGGTGGCGAACCTATGGCACGCGTGCCACAGCGGGCCGTCTGTATGCTCGACAGCTCTAAAAGGTTCGCCACCGATGCCCTAGAAGGTGGTGCTCCCGGGGTTTTCTCACACTCCCTGCCGGCCTGTAGTTCCTAGGCCTGCACCCTCCACCTCCACATTCCAGCCTGTGTCCACATCAAGGCTGCTGGCGCTCTGAAAGATCTGCCCAGAACTTCAGGAAAGCGAAGCAGAGCCTCAGGGCTTCCCCACCCTGACCTCAGCTCCCAGGACGCCAGGAAGGGCCACTCTGGACCCGGGCTGCTGGCAACGCCCAGCTAGACTCCAGGCAGCAAAGCTGGGCTCCACCGAGACTGGCCTGGCAAGTCCGCCCCGGGCGTCCCCCACGCCAAACCCCTCCACACCCCACTCTGGCCCCGGAGCAAAGAGGAAGCACCAGGGAAGGCCCCTGGCCAGGTAGTAAGGCCGAGTAGGTCAAGAAAGTGTGTCAGGAAGATGGAGACAGATTCGGGCTGACGGAGACGAGGAAGGGGCGGCACCTGCGGGCTCCTGGGGGCTGGAAGCCACGGGGCGCCGGGTCATCGCCTCACGCCTGCCGGCCGTCGGAGAGCCCGAGCTCGGGACGGGGGTGGGGGTGGGGGCCCTCTGCGGCGCGCTGCCCCCTGCCCTACCGGGCAGGGGCTGGGAAGGGCCC